TTATCCAACAGAGAATTAATTGCTTGAAAGAAAATTCAACATCCGATTGTGACACTAAAGCGGACAGATTCCAATTAAGAAAACGACGTCGCCGTGTACAACAAATACTCGAAAGTGACAATTAAGTTCATTTTTAAGGTGGCGTGTCTATGGTGTATGTTTGAAAATTTTTCCCACTTTAGCTAACAACCATTATAAGGGCCCGTTCGACTTCTCGACCTCTTGTATGAAAATTTCAATCCCAACCTTTTTCGGAAAATTCATCCGGCCGAAGGTAAGAAAATCGAGCCAAGTAGGAAAATTTTCTCGGCTCCTTGTCGTAAAATTTTCGTGGTCTCGTATGAGAAAACTTTAATCACGATCCTTGAAGGAAATTTTTTTCAAATGAAATATATTTTTTTATTGCAAAATTTTGTGAATGATATTTTTTCCTATTTTGGGGGTATAGATGACAGTTTTGAAAAATGACACTTGGGGTGAAGATTTCATCCAATATAATTACAAAGTTAGCATTTCTTTTTCAACTTTTTTAATGTCAAGTCTATTACCTTTTGTCGATGCCCTCTAAACCGATAAACTTTGCACAATATTGGGAAAATATTGAACTGGATAAGATTAGAATATATTATTTAAAAATTGCACGCATCTCCCCGTTTTATCATATTTAATATTGTACAATTTAACGTATCAGATTTTTTCAAGAATATAGATCGACAAAATAAAATGGAAAAATGAACCGTTAATTTAACTTGTTATTCTAGTAGTTAGTCGTATGTCAATTCTCGATAACAAAAACTCTTCAAATCTGCTTTAATTGTTACTTTTTACTTCACAAGTTGGGTTGACGCTTAGAAATAAAAGTAACACATGTTTTCATTAGGGTCACTTGATGAAGGGTTGGATAGTTTTGAGTCTTTCGACCCATGAAGGCTAATTATGCAACTAAAGTAAAAGATTGTGAATCAACTTGTTCTTTTTTAAACATTGAGAGCCAACTTGCTATTAAAGAAATAGGTTAGGACCAATATTGTAATATCAGTGGAGACCCCTAACCCATGGCCTACGTAACAAGTTATCTGCCCCTAACTTTTAAGTATCAGCGTTTTAATCCCATCATTTATTATAAAAATGTCAGACAGACATCCCATGTGAAGTCAAGTTACAAAAAACTCCAAATTTTGTGTGTTGATTTATTTGGATTCACTGACATCAGGTTGTACGCTGTGCATTAAATATTTTTTGGGAAAGTTGATGGAAATTCTCTTTGGTCAGCTCTACTATTCATAAGTCAACGAAAAATGTTAGAACCGGCAAGCGATATGTCTAAGTTGCCATTTCTGCAGAAATGGAGGTAGGAACTGTGGTGGTAGGTGTACCTAGTCGTATTCCGTTCGTAACTTAGATTCTATTAGAAGTTGTCAGCACACTTCTGAAACTAAATTTGTAAATTGTAAAGAATATTCATTCTTTATGCATCACAAAACGCACTCTTCCATTCAATGGTAGTCTTCTTCGTCTCGCCCTTTTGCTAATCAAGACTCTATAACACCGTCGATCGAAATTGTAAAAAGAGTTCACTATCAGATGATCAAAGAATGAGATTTATAAATGTCGCCGTATTCGGCATGTCATCAAAAGTATTTTGCATTAGTGATACCAATGAGAATGGAAATCTAAATTCGAAATCATTGAAAATGTATAGCATTCCTCAAGCTTAAGTACTATTTGGAAGAAACTAGAAACTGAATGATAAATGTCGCACTAGTTGTCTAATAATAAAAAATGACATCGTGTTAATGTGGAATCAAAATCAAATAGTACATTTCGATTGTGTATCTAAAAATTCACGAGTTCATCTTTGTGGTAATCATCATCGGATGTATAAGGTGGTGAGGGGAGGGGTCCTAGGGGACATTATCAATTTCTATGAATTTACAAGCAAAAGTTCTTGGACTGACTACCCCACAAAATGGCAGGAAATGTAATTGTAATGTCCTCTCGGTCGACGAAAATTCAAACGAGAAATTTTGATGATCGCAATATTTCATGTTTGAGAGCATGTCATACCCATTTGGATGTGTGCAAAAGAAATCGACATTCAAACCTTTAGTTTATGTGAAAACGTCCTCCATTTCTTGTGCAACAGATGGAATCGTTCAAGAGTAACATTTTATTTGGACACAATCGAAGTCTCGATGATTCAAAAAGATTTGTAGTTCGTTAACTCAGTTAAGTTTACCTTAATCTTTGAACTTGCTGTAACCAATTGTTCAAGTGACAGCCCCACAAATCTTGTGAAGTGCTAAACTTTATTCTAAGTGTTGATATTAGCTTCATTTAAGCTAGTACCAATGCTCCACTTAGGAATGGAATAATTTCAAATTTCCAATCAGTGAAAGGTCATGAGGAGATGTATATTTTTTTGCCTTATAAAAGAAGGCTTCTATATTTTTTTATAAAAGTATTGAATGTAAATGTAGTTTTCTTTTTTTAAAATGAAAGTTGAAGATAAAATCTTTTCAAAAAATAAAAATAAAAAATCGCCTTTTAACGATCAAACATACAGAAACTCAAGAGTGTCAATAGATTCGATCCTTAGATGCTCGGTTTTGCCCACTCAGCTCGACCCTAAAACACTCGAGCTCGGCTAGTATGGTAAAGACTCATATCAATGCGATAGACTTAAGCCAAACAAAGAGCCCACCAAGGTGGAGCTTTCATGGTCCACTCTTGGTAGCACTTCAAGTTTATTTACATGGGCTCACCAAGTTGGAACTTTCTTTGTGGGGCCATACTAACACACTGTGAGCCTGAACAAACGAGCCCATGAAAAGGAATAATCAATAGGCCACTATCCTTCATCAGAGGTAAACTCAAATTTCCCCATCTGAAAATGAAAGAGCATAGAAAAATTGAAAGCAAAAGGATGCACTTCAACAAAGAGTTTTAAATTCCTGAATCGAATAGGGTCAAGAATCAAAGAGTTGGACAGTTTGTATAATTTGAAAAATCAAAAATGAACTGGACCATTACGGATGTGAACGAAATAGTTTTTTACGGCATATGCATTTTGAATGTAACTACGCATACTCTGGAGCCATAACCATTAACCGTTAAGTTCAATTCAAACTTGTGGCTTCCTATCCCTATAAATACATAAATTGGGCTTCGAAACATGAGAGGCTGAGCAGTTGCATGTACTGAATATTGGAAACAAGAGCACAATATCATCGAGTATTTCAATGCATCTACAGAACATTTTTAAATTTAAAGAGGATATGATCAATTTTTCTGTAGAACCGAATTTGAGCCACGTTATTTTGGAAGAATATATTTTGGAATAGTAGATTGATGGAGAATGTGTGGTTGAAAAAGAAGAAAAAGTTATTGATGTGATAGTAAATATTATTTTGTTGAAGAATGTATGGTTGAAAATGAATAAAAAAATGATAATGAAAATTTTAATGTGATTCAAACATGGACAAAACCCGATTCTTGAAACACTAGTGTAGGTGTTGAGTGGGGTCAAAGCTGGGCCCCTTAGATGTCAGAAATGGGTCCCACTTGCTCTTTCTCTCTTCCTCTTGCTGGTAAGTTGTCAGCCATATTTGACTGACGCGTCTGAGTGTTCATATGCTGGCTCGGATCCCAACGTTATTGTTTTCTAGTTAATTTTTTATTTTAAATCATGATACATGGAGTCGCAGTACGAGCCGCGTGATTATATGCGGCTTGAGCCGTTTGGTTTATTAATGTTTTGATGAATTGCAATTTAGAGAATTTTGCAGCTGGGGTCGCATTTTTTTGACAAATGCAATATTTGAGACCCCATTACCACCAATCACCACTTTCGATGTGGACACTGAGCAGTGACGGAATCAGAATTTTCAGTCGGAGATGAAGAATGTTGAAGAAACAAAATATACATGTAACTTGCATATTAAATTCACAAATGATCATCCAACTTTATACTTAATGTTACATTAGACATTCAATTTGATTTTGTTTTACCATGATCACCTAACTTCATACTTAATGTCACATTAACTACTCAATTTGATTTTGTTTCACCATTGCCACTCAACTTTATACAATGTGTCACATTGATCACTCATTTTGATTATGTTAAAATGAAGTTATCAGATAGCTTGACTGAAACTAAGTATGAAGTTGAGTAGTCAAAATGAAACAAAATCAAATTGGATGACCAATGTTACACTAATTATAACTTTGGAGGGGAAATTAGTTAATTTAACCCTGCACATAATTCAAAAAAAAAAATCCAAAATTTCTTTATAGGAAAAAATGGAAAAATATTGCAGGAGCAGTTGCAACCCCAGCTCCACAATTGACGATAAGCCGGAGGCAGGACGAAGATGAGATAGGAGAAGAACTTACCAGTCAATTTTCAAATTAGAATTTCTTAATTTATCGTATATAAAAATACAGTAACGCCTCAGAAGACAACATTTTTGTAAATTACTGGGCTTTTAAGACCCATAATAATGTCAAACAAAACATAAACACTAGGCTCATACTTTACCTTAAGATCCTATGACATGAACAAAATCCTCAGTACCTGGAAGCGAAGAAAATGTTTTCAATAGAAGTACTCGAGGGTATTTAGCGATCCCAAGAGATCCAATGCCAGATAGCTATAGAAAAACATAAGCATGAAAACAAAACAAAACAAATACGATCATGCCAATCTACATATACATTATATTGTTTCTTTACTGTAACATAATTCTTGTTTCAGATCATCTACATTCTTGAGTGTTACTCAAAAGAGTTATTGGTGATAATTTGTCGTTGAATATTGACCCCTCTTCCCTTTTTCTCCCCGGGGGCTCCCTCTATCTATCAGACAACTGCAAAAGAATGGGCAAGAACTTGCTATCAAGTATCAACCCTTTTCTGGGACCTGCACACGTGGGTTGGATCGAATTCCCCATCTAACAAACGTGACAATTGCATTTCATTTGAACGTATTGACAATGCTATCTGCGTGGACCAGAAACTCTGATACCATGTTCATCTTCGTCGTCATCACTAGAGTGGCCATGTCCTGCAGCGGGTCTTTTCAATTTCTGAAATATCTCGTCCAGGGATTCAGAGGATGAACCTCGAGATAAGAGTTTCGTGTCCTCAACTTGACGTAAAGGTAAAAATTTCTTTGCTTCAATGTTCGTCTTAAAAGTTTGAAAACCTGCCTTCATTGATGCCCATTTTGAGGCTAAACCAGACGGAATTCCAGAGCTGTTACTAGATTGAGAGTTGCCAGCATTGAGCAAGGAGACCTTAGCTGCAGCGATATTCTCGACTGGTTTCGTGTTAGATGGTTGTTTGTTCTGTTCTCTCATGGCAGCATATTTGCTGCTTATGGCTTCTTTGCTCTCAGCATATCTACTGGCCTCGTCTTTTAAAGGTTTTGATGAACTTCCTTTTATATCAACCTTGCTCAAGTCGGATGCCACCTTCATTTCAACTGGACGTCTATCCTGGAAATATTAACTCCATGTTCAGAAATTAATTATTACAAAGTAATTGGGCTTCAAGAAAGAGGTTGAAAAACAAAGTAAACAATTCTTGTAGAAGAGAGACAGAACTAATGATTGCAATCAGATTTTATGGACTTGGTTTCCAAAATGAAAACCACATCCAATAGAATTAATATGAGAGAGGGTATATAGATTCTTATAAGGATTTAAATTTTTCCACCCCAAAATAATAAATGCAAAATGCATCAATGCAGAGAAAACAGAACATACAGTGTCATTGTCACCAGACTCCAGGTCCATGTTCACACCATTGAAATTCCTAGCCAATGGGATAACATGTTCTCCAACTTTACGACCTTGTTCCAGCCACATTCTTTCTGCGAAAATAAACTGGTCAGTTTTACATAATACTATACGAATTGTATAGCATCACATAGGACCTCAATAATGAAATGCAAATAATTAGTGATAGAGATCTCTTATGACTTCCATCAGTCAAGGACCAGATAAAATATGCAGCCCAGACCCACCATTTACCTTTTTGTAGTATAAGCATTCCGGATGGATCAAAACCATCCACATCATCTGCTTCTGTTTGAAGTCTAAATATCTTCCAGTTCCCAAAGAAACTGATGATCCGGTTAAAGAAATTGCTAGCAACCATGATTGTGTAGATGACCATAATAAGTGGATAAATTCTGTTAAATCCTTGCCCAAAAAAAGGTACGGCTTTATCGATATTTCCCATTCGCTGCAACCACATGTTCATTCCAAATCAAAAAGCTAACCAAAAATTCTACGGCTTAACATTGTTTTGAAAACCCAATAAAGATCATATACTTAGAAAGAGAGCAGAAAAAAATAAAAATCTAGCAAGTGACCAGAAAGTGAGAACAACCAGTAAACAGCTCGGCAATATGAAGGAAGCTCTCATCATTTTTGTTAGTATTAAGTATGCTTAGCTAAAGTACATCACAGTGAGATTGAGTGATAAAGGTGGTTCTGAATGCATGCAACCTCGAAAAAGAAAATGTGATCAGCAAGAGGGAAGAAATTTTGTAATATCAATGGCTGAAAATAGATAGATTTGACAAAGAAATAACCATTCAGCTTAGGGAGAGATGTCCTTAAAAATTAGAAATTCAACCCTGCTCCTAAATAAAATCAAATGCATTTATGTTTCCTTACAGAGCTAACTTTAATTCCATCATATGGACAAAAATCAGAGTGGTTACAAAATGAGATAGAAAGCTCACCGCCTCAAAAATAGTTTCCTTGCCATTTCCAAGACTAATGAGATTAAGAAAGTTGTACGAAATTGGAGGCGCATAACGAGCAACCATCCTGGCACCCAGATTGAAGTAAATTATAGATTAGTTCGAAGAATATCAGAACATCATATCCAATTTATGCAATCAAAACCACAAGAAAAACTCACGAGCATATCATTAGCAAACTGACTGAGCTTGTTTGTCTTGGAGTCAATGAATAGAACATCAGCATTCCAACTTTGAACAGAGAATAATATGTGCAAACACACATGTACATCAGAGGAACAAATGAAACAACCTGAGCCAAAAAGATTAAATAATTAAGACACAATTAATGGGTAAGAGAAATAAACAATGAACCATGCACTAAATATCTCAAGTCAAAGGCTGAGCCTTCACCAGCAAAGGGGGATACCCTCCCTTGATCTATGCCATGATGCTCATGGGCAGCTTATCTAATTGAATTTCCTTTCTAGCGGGATTTTATTCAAAGATATGATCTTAGACCTTGCTATAAATGAAGGAAACAAACCCACAGAATAAATTACTCCATAAGACACAAGAAAGCAACTGATTTGATAAGATGCCACAATGGCTCACAAAGTACAACTCCAGAAGACAAAAGAACAATAACAAACTAAGCTATTTTCCCCAATAATTTGGAGTTGGCCACATTAATCATTTTCCGCCACTCTGTTTGCTTCATTGCTGGATTCACACGAAGATCTAAAACAACTAGATTCTTATTAACTACCACAGGTCAAAAAATAAAACAAATGTATTACATGAACAACTAATCCAAGAGCATAGCAAATGCTGAGGATCTAAGATGCCGTCTTACCCTATACAGATTATTGAACCACCCTTCTGAAAGAGCAATATGCATAAGACAGATTTTATATACCTGCACGACAACCTCTTCATTTCCTACGGATTTTATGAGGATAGAAAATAGAGATAAATCAACTCCTCCTAGCAATAATGTAGCCTCAGCCAGGAGAATCGCGACTGACATGCAACCAAGAATAACAGCAAAGACTTTCTTCAATTGCTTCCATAAAATACATCGCCATACTAATTCTGGAAAAAAAAATATATGTTACCAGTGTATGATTAGATTGGAAGACTCCCCATATACAGGAGTAAGGAATAATTATTATCGAATGGTGCTCATATGGAATAACAATATTAATCCACATGCCATCTGATACTGAAGCAGGGGGGAATGATGACACAAGAACATTACTGCCTTTATTAATCAGCACCAAATATAAAATGTACATATCATCAATATTCAATCCCATTTTCCTCTGCTTCCGATGTTGAAAAAAGATTTTGCCGTACCAAGAGATTCTGATTCGAATATAAAATTAATGGGATAAGTTATTACCTATTGTATCAAGGAAAGGCCCTAATTTACCAGTGCGTTCAGTTCTAAAGCTTGAGAAGAATTTCCTGCATTACGACAAAGTGCAAAATCAAACAAGCAAGAAGATAAAGGTTTTACAGTGATGAAATATCTGCTATCTTCTGCAGTAGATTTCTAAAAATATTTCCAGCTCAGATGAGAAGTAGCATTGTATAGAAATCCCCAAGTATTCTTTCCTACTCTTAACATTGTTGACTTTTTCCATCTTTAATAGCAGAATCGTAAGCATTATTTCCTAGACTACTCTACACACTTGTTCTGCATAAATTTGGACGTATTGCCATGCAATAGATAGAGCAATTTTTTTTTTTTTTTAACAAATTGTTGTATATCTAAATGAAAACTCATTATCAGTGCAAGAATTTTTTATGTTCGAAACAGATTATCTTTCTCAGTGTCCTATGCTTTCATTGTCAGGGACCTTTTTCCAGAATGTATTCCATCTGTTTCGGACCATTTGTCAGCTATTACCACTTCAGATCACAACTTCATGGCCTCTATCTAGTGAGCTTCTTGTCCATCCAACTTCCCTCCATAAACCTTTTTTTGTCTCATAACAAATCAGGAACTTTAAAAACTCATTCCTCAATATCAGGTTAAGCCACAATCCAACAGTCAAGGCCACAGAGTGAACTACAATCTATAATGGGAGCCTTTAAACTCAACAGGGAAATTATTTAGAATGATCACAGGTATAATTATAAACACGTATAATAAGGGGAAAGGGAAGTTGACCCATTTCATTGGACCTGTGATAAGAAAAATTGATCCAAGGTTTGCCTTGTAGATGAAGAAGATTCTCAAATCATGTCACAACTTTGGAACTCTATGCAGCGAAAAATAAGCAGCATATGCACGTTCCTCTCAACAGCTAAGGAAATCTGGGAGTCTGTGTTGTGCATCCTAAGGTAATGGATGCAACCCAAAGCTTTGAACTAATGACAAAGATTCACAACACCAAATAAAAGAAAACTTTCTGTAATTGAGCACTACAGTGCTATTAATGGTATTCAGCTCAAATTGATCAGTATCAGAGTTTTAAGAATGACATGCAAACATAGGTGCAACAGTGCATAGAGTACATTAAAATGAGAATGGGTGTTTGATTTCTAGGCCTGAATCAATGTGTAAATGGATCAAGCATGGATCCACGTCCTTGGGAAAGAGCAACTGGAATTAGCGAAGGTTCACCATGACCAAAAGAATAAGGAAAAGACATGTTATGCTAGAGAAAGAAAGCACAGTAGAATTATCTGTAGTTGATGTATGATGTATCTAATCCCAAGTGAGAGAAAATGAGGACAACGATAATACTGCAAACCCCAGCACAAAGGTAAGAAAACGAGTAACAACAAATCTTTCTGGTGCAACCATTACAGGTATGCAAAGGAGGCTTGTTGGAAGCCACATGATAAGCCCCCAAGTGCCAAGGGAGCTAGGGGCAGAAAGGGAAGCTCTGAACCTCTGATCACAAGTCACAAGCCAACCTTGCAGAAAAATGGAGTCAAACAACAAGGAGAAATCTCGAATCAACAAAATGTTGTTCAACAAGAAGGAAAGAGAAACTCGAGCAGTTCATATTCAGGCTGGAAAAATGTAAAGAATGTAGTCCTTTTGCCCAAATCAGATCATTGACTTTTCTTTGGTTAGTATACGAGTATATCATAGTCCTAGGCCTTAAGAGTCTCCCAAGAATATTTTCTAGCACCTGGATCATTGATTCAGGACTTTAGACCACACGACCAACTCTAGTGGCAGATCGAGGGGATATCTTCCTAACATCTTCTGGTCTCTTCTAACTCTAGAAAATGCTAGCATGTTCTAAGATTATTAGTGAACTTGTATATTCTTAAAATCGGGACATTATTAAATCCCCATGTTTCTTTACGACTTCACGGGGAGAATGATTGGACATGTTAGAAAAGAAGGGGAAAATATCTCCTTGACGCTGAAAGTGGCATGGCGGATCCTACTCATACCTGTATGTCCAAAATCCTACTTCAGATAGCAAACAACTTTGGTTAGCCGACTTTCCTCAGCAAGATTTGGGTGTGTAACGTTTGTGCATATATATGCCCATCAAAGGAGTAAATTTGACCAGGAGCCCTTAAGTGTATGTTGGGCATTCTCCTACATTCTCCTACAAGAAAAGCGTATATGTGCTATCATCCAGCTTTTAGGATTTTCTGTAATCATAGATGTATCATTCAATATAAAACAACCTTCTTCCCTAGTCCTTATCTTCAGGGAGACCTTCTGCAATAGATAAGGACTTATTTCCTAACCTACCTACTGCTCCTCACCTAGACAACTTCACCAAAACTGTCTAGCCTAAGGGACCAGATTCTATGCCTCAAATCATACCAGCGAACTCAACAACAGTTTCTCTTAAAAAAATTCATCATAAAAGGCCACAGATTTGCACCACAAACTACTGGAGTACCTAAACAACAACTCAGTTAATTCCTATCAGCATAGGTCAGAGCCTAAGGATTTTGAAGTTCCACTCAAGATCTATTGAAGGAGGAAGCAACTGGCCCAAGAAACTCCATATTTTCTCATCAAAAATTTACAGGAAAGGAAAAGTAAGCCTAGAGCTAAGCCTAAGAAACAAAGAGCTTATCATGAGAGGTAGGTCAGTTTCCAGTACAAACAGTGCCTAATAGAGGCACCGTTTAGCAGACTAACAGAAAGCACAGAATAATCAATGTTATTTTCTATTTTACTTCAATTAAAACACAGTAAAAACTACACTAAGTTAAAAAATTTAATGTGTTGAACAATTTAATTGAATACGTATGGCTCCTCTCTAATAGTTTAAACTTTTAGATGTGATAATTCACATGGTTACACAAAAGAACAGGTTTCAAGTCCCGTCTCCACCCAATTATTAAGAAACAGTTAATGTGTTAGGCATTGGACGAGAAAGAATGAACCCAGCCAACACATGAGGGGGCATGCATGTTGAAGACTTGAAATGAATAAACATGGCCAGTCTATAACAACTTAAGCTTTTACATAAGATGGTTAACAAAATGATATAGGCTATACACTACGGATGGAAGCATCTTGTACTTTGCGTAAATTGCATATTCATGCAGACTTTGATTACCATCAAAAGATATGATCAGCAATGGATTTAGAATAGTGTCATGTTAATATGATCAAGGCTCTAAATTTTGATGACATTTTACTTTTTGACCTCTAGAAATTTGGGTAAGACTTTGTATCAAAGGATGAATGTGATATCTGTTAAGAATATGTATCAGAGGATGAATGTGACACTAAATTCAGCTCAAATTGCATGGCCTCATGTCCCAGTTAGACATCCACAAGAGAAACGTCATATGCATATTGAATATAGCTTGTTCAAATGCAAATTCTCAAGAAAAGAATTTTTGGTAACATCCATACAAAGGAAACAAACTTCAATAGGGAAATAGAGAAGATGCAAACCATCCAGTTGTATTGCGTCGTTCATAATTCTTTATAGTATCCTCTAATTCAAGCGCCTGTGTAACATAAGTCAGGTACTCACTGCCAAAAAAATTAAAAAAAAATAACTGAAGAGAGTATAAAATATTTTAGTAAGATGATCATCACAGCTGCACAGTTACTGAGTGATACATAGTATTTGTTGGAGACGATGTTTAAATGATATCCATGTGCCCTCTCTAACAACTTAAACTTCTAGCTTTTAAATCAAGCGGTTCTTCAGTATTTTTTCTACATAGATTGCTAAAATAGATGATAAGTTGGTTCCTATGTTGACAATTGCCATGAAATGAAAACTGATGCAGGTAACAACAACATTTTGTCCAAGTTTCCTACCATGTGAGTGTTAAACAAAACTTCTACTAGTCCAAGGATGAAGGATCTAAGTTCAAAAAGGTTGAAATCGGGTAGGAAATAAACAAATTAATATCTCCGGTGCCATCCACCAAATCATAAAAAAACTGCGAAGCAGTCGGTGATCTTACGTGTAGAAATACAGGTAAGAGTATGACTATAAAAAAGGGGGACAAGAATAAGAATAAAAACACAAAACAAACATAACACTTAGCAACAACCTGGGCAAAGAACTAGAACTGCATGAAAATAAAAAAATAAGGAGCTAAAAAATTGATAAGCAGAAAAAGGAAAAAAACAAAACAAAACAACAAAACATTGAAGTGTTCACAGACAGATATAGACACGTGCAAGAAGTATATTGAGATTGAGAATGCAGAACAGAAATAATTCATCCAGGAGAATGCAAATAGTTAATAACTATACCTTTTGCATCGATAATACTCTTCGCGAGCTTGCCGAAGATGACGCCTGAGAGTTGCCATTGATTTCTCATCTGTATCGTAATCCATATCATTTTCTCCCAACCGACCCCCTTGTGGCTTGAAGGAAGGATCTTCTTTGAACTAGGAAATAGAAAACAAAAATTGAACTGCATAAATAATAACCATATGCAGTGATTTCAACACATGGAAATGTTTAAGAACCAGAAGTACCATTTGCACCAACATATTGTCAATGACCTCCATAAGAGGTCTCAGTGGATCACGCTTGGACATCTGTTTAGATGTTGCCTGAGCAATCTAAAGTAGATACCAAAAAAATAGAAGGAAAGGAAAAAGTTATACGTGTAATGAATCAGTCAAAACATAAAAACTGGAAAACATTCATGCATGGGCAGTAATTTTTTGTTGTTAAACGTTCCAGCCACGTAGTTTTAAATATATGCATGTTTGCCTCATCAACAGGTAAAGAGAAAATAAACTGTATCACTCCCAAGTATATATCCATATTCCAAAATATATGGTGTAAAGTGAGAATGCCACAAAGCGGTAGTCTGTGCTATAATTTTATTATTCTCATTTCTTGCATCCTATTTTACTTATGTACGTTACTTAGGCTAATATCATATCATTTATGAACTCTTTAGATCATGTCCCTGGCATGACTAATTAAAAGAACAGGCTGATAAGAAGCATAAAACGCTGATACATAGCTGGTGGAGATACAACAGACTACACTCAAGCTTAAAATCAGACTGTAAGATGCAGAAAAATGACATCTGCAAACCCTTTGCTTTGCTTCTCTACAACCCATTATGACCTCGATCCTTTTAATTGAAGAATCCTACTCTATCATCACCTCCATCCTTGCTTCTTTTCATCTCGCCCCTTGCCCATTTCCCACATCCTTGCTCTGTTGCTTTATATTTTTATGTTCGTTGGTTACACAGAGAGAGAGAGAGAGTTAATTTAGGCACCATAAGAGAGTGTGCAACATTAGAGAACAACCAGTACTCCAATTTCTTATAGAAAGGACAAATAAATTTGGAAGATAATATATAATTAGTTTGCAGTATTGAACCTAGAAAATTATAGGGTGCATAAATCCTCACTTCGCAGATATTTATGCTGTCATCAACCCTCATTCATGCTTATTTACTCTCAGCATTCGACTAAATCAGCTAGAGGTGACAATTATTCTTCGCATTATCTTCTAGCATATCCACATTCATAATCTAGCACAACAACCACAGTATTATCAATGCGGCCTCTACACCTTCCATTATTCCCCAATAGTTTGAACACTTGCTGATTGTCTAATTATCCCATATTATCTGAACAATTTTCCATTTTTGGTAAACCGGTCTTTTCTCGAAGCAATACTTGAGTACATAATTTAGTTAACATTTCAAAACAAAACGTATAACTATACATGAACATGATAGATGATCCAATCCTAGAGATGTAACATGTAAGCATTCAAGCTAAGGTATGAGATTCAAGAAAGGTCGAAATTTGGCAAGTTTATATATCAAGTCGATCTTGAACAAGCTTTTGTCGAACTACCGTAAAATTGAGCTATGACCTGTTAGGTGCTATTTTGACAATTGATGCAAGCTTAAGTAAGGTTCCTATCTTTCAAGAGCTTAAATGTGTCCAAACTGGGTATGCTTGCATAAAGGAGTGAATGAGGATTCCACAACCCAGCTTCAGAGGCTTGAATTAGTAATATTTTCCAGCTGTTATATTATTTTCATGTTTAAAAATAAGCAAATTGCATGGAACACTTTGAGAAATTGACTTTTCAAGCAAAAACCAACCTTACAAATTTTTAATCTAACATGTACCAGAGAGAATCTATGCTCCAAAGTGAAATGAATCCATGAAAATTGTGATTATATAGTGAGTGTTCGGTACTCATTTTAATGGAAATAGAAATTTTGAAATAGTGATTGATGGGAGAATGTGTGGTGGAAAAGTGATGAAAAGTTTTAGATTTGTGTGTAATATTATTTTATTTGGAGAGTGTGTGGTTGAAATGAAGAAGGAGAAAAAAAAATTAAAGAGTGGGTGCCAAACTGGGGCATAATAAGAATTGCAGCAATGATTTAAACTCAACAACTGGAATAACTAGAATACAAATCCTTGGTAAATGGAGTACAGATAGAAGTCCAGAAAAAAGGGAAAATAGATGCTCCTGCAACAGAGTTTTCATATTTTGTTAGACCAGTTTATAAGCATGTCATCAGAACACTTACCACTATGGTGTTTGATAGTTCTTTGTGAGCATCATCAAGTTTCACAGCCATTTTGGCAATTTTGTGCGACAGAACCTTCTGACGGGTAGTCCAGTCAGCATTTCTCCAAATGCTCTTTGGAATTTCACTTAAACCAAAACCAAGAAGAAATACACCAGTCACAAGCCCAAATGTATTTGAGCCTGCCATGGCCAAAGCCAGTATATCTCTAATCCTGGCAGTGAATGTATAAATGATAAATGGAAACGACATTAAGCATTTAAGAACAAGAGAATCAGTATAGCTATGCATGTTATAGTAAGAGGATTGCGATCCATCAACTGCAGTATTGAAGAATGATATTTGACCAGTATACTGGACATTAGTTTTTCTTATTCATTCATTTATTTAATGTTATTGTTTATGTTTTCATTTCTCTTGTTTCGTGCATGTTTTAGGGGGAGTTGGAATATGTGCACAGCCTTATCTTGAGTTTATGAAGGAACCAGGTATCTAGTGTAATATGTAATGAGTTTGTCAAGCTACTGTTCCAAATTCTAGTACTAAACATGATGCATGAGACCCTCACTTTCAATTATCTGTTACAATAAAGTAATCACTTGCAATTAACTGTTCTAAGATCCATTTCTTTCGATCCAATCATTTCATCATTGACAAAGATGCATGAAAAATCAAAAGTAAAGAACATAATCACATATCCAGGACCTAAAAATCACCCACTGAAGACACCAGCCTTCTCTCACAATGGCAACAAACAGTTAACAAGGCAGAGAACATATGTATAGAGCCACACGATCTACACTCACTCATCAACAAAACATTTAAGCCCTCATGTGAAGTAAGAATTTCCAACTTCAATTGATCCAGCTGGTCCACATGGAATAGAACAGTGCTGCCTCATTGGTTGGTTATGGACAATACATTTCCACTCTCACACTTCCCAATTAACTACATAAGGTTGCCCCCACAAAAATGTCACATGTCTAGGAACAGCCCAATAACGTACCAAGAAAGGAAGATTACCAGACCAATAATGTACACCCATAAGACATATTTAGTGCATTGTATGCAGCAGGTTTCCCTTGCCACTGATACTGGATCGAAAACAACTAAGAATATACAGACACCTAATTGTGCCAGAGAATAAATACAATGAAGTGAAAGTAGTATAAGAGAAGAAACTAACCCAATTTTGTCCATAATAATGAGGAGAATAAGTCCGAAAAGACCAATGGAACCCACAATTAAATAGAAGACTAAGTTGACATGTATGCTAGTCTTTAGTCTTTCCTTTACTGTAAAATCCCCAGCATCTTCGTAACCTTGTATCAAGGGCACAACAAGCCTGCTCAAAGTGACAAATACAAAATAATAATCTCAAGATACGCATATCTCCATAAATATGTCTGAGCTATCTTCAGAAAAAATTAAAATAGAACTTCTAGAATGTTATGGCAATCAATAATTCTTCTCAGGAAGTAAAAGAAGTACAAAAATAGTTTTAGTGATATGAAATCCAAGATATGCAAGTTACCATCGTCAACATGCATGGCATGAAGTTATTAAATAGGATACCTAAATAAAGCAAATGAAGGAACTCGGACAGACACTACCGTCGAAAAGAGGATCTTCACGTCTTTCTCTCATTCAAAACCATTGTATAAATGATTTATTAAGGACGATGTATTTATACAGATGTCAATATTTTATCTTAATGATCATAGAATGCTAGCAAGCAGCATCCACAAAACAATCAACAGCATTCTAGAGAATAAAAGACAGAACATATCAATTTTGAAGGGGAATAAAAAAACACCTATGGTGTATTAGAGTGAAATCTAACCATATGCAGCTACCCTATGCAGTAAATAGGGCATTAAGTAGCTACAAATCCAAAGTTTTAGAAAAGGCATACCATGTAAGCAAAAATGTACTCCAGTATGACCAACTCCAAAAGAAAGAGATGCCTCCATTAAATTGACCAATTATTGTCTGCATCACAAAGAAAGAAAATCCTTGAGATTTACCAAAATTCATCAAATTATATTGGTGAAGGGATATTATCAATCATAAATCTGAGGAATTTTTAGCGTGGCCTGTGAGAGAAAGAAGATTGAGGAAGGAAGCTGCTGTTACAAGACATAGCTGAGTCATTAGGTTCGGATGACTCTAAGTGTTTGTTTGACAAAGCTTTCAAGTGCTTATAAGCTGATTAATCATCATTTTTAAACACATATTCCTTTGGACCCAACACTTTTATTTACTTTTGAACCATACATTCCTTGGGACTTGGTGTTTATAAGCACTTGAAAGCTTAGCCAAGCAAGCAAATCAACTCGGATTAGTTCGTCTACAGCTTGTTCAAGATCGCTCGCTAGTTCCACCAAATTTGACCTCATCTAGCTATGCAAAAAACACTAATTGCTATGCAGATTATCAACCTGTTTCCAAGCTCGACTCTTGGACCAACAAAACCTCATTCAACCTCTCTGGAGCTCTAAAAATAAATGACAAGCTAGACATTTTCCAATCCCATTGTGATATTCAGTTGAGCTTCAACAGCTTGGATCAAACTGGCTCATTGACACCCCTAAAACTAAACATGCACTATATAGATTACTTTAACCAAATGTATACCTTTAAATGAAGTGGGTATTGTAGAAATGTTCAAGCACAAGCTCATTTAATTTTTCTACGTGAGTTGAAAACTTCAATCAAAATTATTCAAAGGGGCATCAATTTCAAGTAAGGTACCAATATAAGCCCATATGAAAAAAAAATTATTCTGCAATCATAGACTTTATGTTTAAGAACTTAAATCCAAAAGGATAACTATAGAATCTACATCTATAAACATTATGTAAATGCAAATTAGAAATGACCTACACAAAATGCAACCAAAACTATCATCAGTACACATCTTATTCATGTAAAAGTGGACAATATTCTTAAAAGATATTATATCAAAGTCCAAAATGTAGATGAATTTTCTCAACTACTACCATGGAGCAAAAGTATCTTGAGATAAGAAATAAGAAACTATGATTTTACTCATAATCCCTAATACTTCATTTCGATATATAGATTTGAGACAAATGAATTTGAGATTCATTGCCCAATTCCTTAAATCTGGTTGGGTGACCCAAAGTGCCTAAGTTCAAATCTATCCTCGAAACCAATAGTGCATAGCCAAATTCAGTAGATTCCAAATCTACCAGTTTTTGTGCATCATTTCATACATTGCTCACAATTGTGATAGTTTGCCCTTGGTCGCCTAAGAAGCATGGATTCGTTTACGATGATTGGTCCCCAAAGAAGCATGAATTCGGATACAATGATAAGATAAGGGTACGCCGATATAGCATTTTAAAGAAAATTTGGACACCAATAAGTGAATTAATTTATGAATGTTCATTATTACAAAAAAATAAAAACATAAGCTTTACAATAAAAATAAAATAAAATACAGAAACATTATCTATAATAAAAAGAAAATAAAATGCAGAAACATTATATAGGTTAGCTTATTTAATAATTTTTAATTACATTTTTCAAAGATATTAAATATATAGTAAAGTTCGATTATATTAACGTATAAATCATTAACAAGGTTTCACGTGTATTAAAAAATTTAATATTATGGTTGACCCACTTTTAAATAAGAAACAAACACTTGACCCCACTTAAAAAAAATGTTCACCCTACTTAGTATTTGGATTTTAACTTTCAAGCAACGTCTTTGTCTATGTACAATTAATGCTTAGGGTTAGGCTTTCTCCCTCCCCATCTCTCTTCCACTACACTCGTCAGTATTAACCTCTTCCACTTCACTTGCCGACAATGGCCTTTCTCATCGCACTCGTCGGCAGGTTAGTTTTTCTCTATTTTTCAGAGCACCCTTGCCGCGGTTTGCCATGTTCAAGAATGCATGACATCCAAAAGAAAATAAACTAAAAAGAAACACATGCCATGTGACATTTTCAAAATGTGTCAAAGCATGTCCAACACATATAGAGATCCAATACGTGTCGAACATCAACAAGCCGACTCTAACAACGTATCAGTACAACATAGTTGGTCCCTCTCCCGTGACTCGTTTTCACCTACTTGTTTCTCCGAATTGGACATTGCCTCCCTCCCCCTACCCACCACATACAATAAAAGCATAGAGGAAAAATCATATGCGTACACACAATCACACATGCAACTACCAATTTCACTCTCTCTTCTTGGAAAATACACACGTATATAAACGAGTGCACTAGCATGTATATAACTGCTCAATTGTTTGTATTTTCGATTTGACAAAATAATCTTTATATGGTTGGATGATCATAGTTCTTGAAGTTCATATGATGTTTTGTGTTCTATGCTTACTAATATGATCTCTATTTACTCTAGGATGTTTGGTTGGGGTAGTCATAACAGACAATCACTTTAACAACAATATTTTCCCGCGGTTTAAAATACTTTCTATGAATCCATCATCTTTCAAATAAAATATCAAAAATTGTGGATTTCAAAACAATAGATTCTAAATCAGTTCATTTAAAATCCAAATGACCCTATGTTTTTTCCTTATTGTGGTTTATAATTATTGCGTACAAATAAATCCGTGGTTCATAAACCCTCAAGAATTTCATATACCTATAAATAACTTAAATGCAGTCACTTGGGCTTAAATGGAACGGAACGTCCCTAATAGTGCTTAGTCGATTAGTACAATTTTTCTTATTCTAGCTCTATCGGCCAAATCACAATCAAGAACCCACCTAAACAGAAGCAAGCCAAACAATCAGCTATTAAGCTAGTCAAAGCTAACTGCCAGTCTTACTCGTATTCATGTACCCAAGAAAAATATTCCCAATAATAGAACAATTAAAAAATAATATAGAAAAAGGAACCCATATCTATTAATAATAATTCCACTGAATGAGTAATCAAATTCTTAAGGGCAGTAAAATCCATTTTAGAGCCTGTTTGACAACCATTATTGTAGAAAAAGGGAGTTTTGAATAGTAATTTTCAAAAGAATATGTGATTAAAAAGTAGGAAAAAGTTTTCGGTATACATGTAAAATATTTTATTATGTGAACGTGTGGTTAAAAATGGTCACGTAGCAAATTATAAAATAAATTAATTGTTGTCAAAAGGCTCTTACCTGGGCGACAGTACATTTTGAGACATGGTCAAGCTCACAAAATTTCCCATTTCTGAAACCTATATCTAATAAGCTGCCTACTTCCTAAACCCTAAGAGGTACACAATGGGAGACAAAACTTGCTCCCAAAGCCTACCAACTTCTCTTGGAGGGTTCAATACGTACATGGGCATGGTAAATACCACTATAGCAACAAGTAATATCAATCTACATCATCCTACACATTGTGGGAAAACCAAGTTCCTCTAAAGAAAAATTAAAAGAATATTTTGGTACTTGAGTGATTCACAAAAATAAGTTGTAAGTTCATTAACAACCTAGCTATTATTTAGCAGAAAGCTATGCATTTAACATATATGTTCTTGAACAAGAACTCATGCAGATTTTATGTTAAAAATAAAACAAGATCAAGAATAGTTCAAAACTAAAACAAAAACAGAGGAAAGGAGATTAGGAAGAATATTATGGGAAATTATCAATGAAAATAACATGATACATTGATAATAAAAAGTTACAACCAAAGTGAAAGCATTGGGCACCCAGAATTAACTTCCAAGCACAAACCGAGATTCAATAGGGTAGTACCCCAAATATAGAAATAGTGCCTACACACATTTAATGTAACTTCTTAAAAAGGGGACAAGCCAATAACCCAAAAGAAAACCATTTCATTGCCATCCAAATAAACTCTAAATCTGATTAAATGTCTCTCCTGTAAAAAGTATATAAGTCGTCATTAAACAGACATGTTAGACATAATTAATCCCAACATGAAACTGGATTACTTATGAACAATAAACTGTTCCTTATCAAATGAAACAATAACCTGTTCCTTCGGGATTCTATCCACTTATATTCAGAATACCAGCTGTGCTAACGCTCGAAAACAGAACTATTGCACCAACCAAAACTCAATCAAACAGGATTAATAAAAACTCAACCAAATCAAAATTCAACGAAGTAAAATTAAGCTCACAAGAGCTAATTAAATCATTTGAAGCAATGCATAAACTGAAATCCAAAATAACTAGCGTGCTACTCAAAATTTTTAGCTGCAGAATCTGAATTTACCGTCCAAATGTCGGCAGGGACAAGACTGATGATTGAAATGGAGCAGAACCAAGTGTATCCCACCGTCAGAAACACGTAACGCGGCACTTCTGGACCGGCAAAGTATTTTAGAGTCAAAATCACCATGCCCAGGGTTAGCGGCAGAGAGATCAAGTAAAAAACCCACATCTTCGATCAATTCCCCTTTTTGTGTATAATCCAATATATGTACAAATCAAATTTAGAATGATATCAATTCTTTGGATCGGAATTCAAAAATACAAAAAGGGGAATTTTGATCGAAATTCTGAAATATAGAGTGTTACGGAAGGGATTGTGCACCAAAATTCTGACTATTCCATGTTTCTTTCTTTCCTCGTTTGGAGGATTGATTATAATTTGTTTATAATATTGATTAGAGCACGTTTCATCCCAATTAATTTCAATACATTCCTTACTCTTCTTTTCAGTCACGTGATTTTTCAATAAAATAATATCAATCAAGTTCAAATCTTTTTCTTATTTTTTATGCACATATTTACCGTCAAATCACTATTTCAAAATATATTTGGACAAAAGATTAGGGCTCGAGCAGGTAAATTTGCTTAGCCCTTGTTTGAGCTTCATTGAAATCATATTTCATGAAAAATATATATTTTTGAAATAGTGATTTCTTTTAAGAACGTGTGATTAAAAAAAAATGAAATTTTTTGAATTTATGTATAATATTATTTTATTTAAAAATGTGTGATAAAAAAGAATAAAAATGCATTTTTAATAAAATGGAGCCCAAACAGCGGCTTATTTCATGAAATTTACAAATACTACTTATTTATACTTTCATTTTTATTTATTTATAATTTAAACAGACTATTAAATCTCCCTAAAAATATTTTAATTGGGAAGTTTAATCAAGATCAAGTTGAGAAGGAAATGAAGAGCTCTATGCAAGAGAGTTGGGGCGAGTTTTTGGCTGAGGACCACGTTTCTTTTATGTCCAATTTTTTTTATTGGACAAGGCAATGCAAGTTCGGTTCGCACTATAGTTTTTACTAAAGGTTTGTTTCGAATAATTTTTTTTAAAATCATTTTCAATCAGACATTCTACGTTAATCATAATTTTTTTCTTATTTTTTAATTACATATCTTTCTATATATAAAAAGTGCCTATTTAACGGAATTTGTTGGTTTAACGGAAAAACTAACGGAATTTGTTGTTTTAACGGATTATGTAACGGAATTTATTGTTTTAAACAGGCAGCTGCACCTTCTTTCAGTATTTTTATCATAACTTTGTATTCCGATGTTCGATTGAGGCGATTCAAAATGCGTTGGAAAGCTAACCCATCTGGCTACAACTTTGATTCAGACATCATTCTCCAATTCGATCACTTTCTATGCCAAAAATATGTCTCAATATAACGGACTATGTAACGGAATTTTTTGTTTTAAACAG